ACGTCCCTAAAACACTTGCCTTTAATTGCTTTTGACAAATGCCTTCTAGGTGAAGAATTTTCACTCTGGGGGAGCTTCTAAGTAGGTCAAATACACACAGCCTTGTAAGGCTCTTCCAAGGAACCTTGGAAGTTCCTTGGCTCTTTCAAGGAACTACCAGCAGATAAAATCATAACAGTTCTTTGGGAATGAGGCTATGAAAATGATCCAGTCCTATTCTGCTACCTCCAATGGTTGTCAGTCTGCAATGGGACTGTGGGTTCTTATTTTTCGAGACTGCCACAAAGCTGGAGAGCAGGGGATAGAACTAGGGCAAGTCAAAATGTCACAAAAGTTGCTGTCTCTACTGAGATTCAACTGCTTTTCTTGAATAAATGCCACCTGGGCCAGAGCAAACCTTTAGTTGATTTTCAGAGTTCTGAAAATTAAAATTCTGTCATTTAAAAAAATTTCTGTTATGGAGGAGCTCATTCTCAGAGGTCCTTACTTTGCCATTTTTGCTGATGTCATTGGTATGTTGGTGACAGAACTTGAGACATTTGCAGAATTATTTATGCTGAAGTGGTCCAGTCTATGAAGGGTTACCCTACATGATAAGGCTGATGACTAGCCAGCTTTGTCATTTGATGTGGCCTGGTCTAATAGGGTGTATATATTCCAGTCTGCAGTATTTGTCATTATGTCTGCTCTAATCCATGGGCATAATTGTTTTTCCTCCCCTGACTGTGATAATGTGGAACAATTAATTTCATATCAGGACATGATTTACATGTACCATACTGCCTAGAGGCTTGAGAAATAGAACCCTTGAGCTCTCCAGCACTAGGAAACTCAACTTCTTTCCCCTTTGGTCTAGGGTACATAGAAAAAGTAATGAGGGCGCCTGGGTGGCTCAGTTGGTTAGGCGACTGCCTTCGGCTCAGGTCATGATCCTGGAGTCCCTGGATCGAGTCCCGCATCGGGCTCCCTGCTCGGCAGGGAGTCTGCTTCTCCCTCTGACCCTCCTCCCTCTCATGCTCTCTGTCTCTCATTCTCTCTGTCTCAAATAAATAAATAAAATCTTTAAAAAAAAAAAGAAAAAGTAATGAAAAATGCTCCAACTTAAAAAGTATCTGGGGAATCTTTTCATTGTTTAAGGGTCAATTTTGTTAGAGGGAAGTAACCAGCTGTTCTCTTTATCTTGGATACTAAAAAGTAAGCACATTTTTTTCTCTTTAAGCATGTTAACCTACTAAAGATTACTGCCCAACAAGCTATGAGAGGAAAATGATTGATGTGGTACCACCATGATTACTTTGCTTTAAATGGGGCCATGTATAATGGATTCCTCCAGGGCCAACGTTAACTGGGATAATAGCCTTAATTTTTACTATGTTCTAGTTCTCTGGCCTCTGGGCTGCTAACCATACTTGTTCAGCCAATGAGGCAGGGGTGATTACTTTGTGGTCACAAGGAGAGGGCCCTAGTGCTCTTTGGGGGAGCCTGTGGGTGGAAAAAGACAGCTGTCTCTGTCATTCCCCAAAGTTCCCACAAGGGGGTGTGTCTCCAAAGCATGCTCACGTAACCTATGTTGATGGCACTTACTGGACACTTCTCTATTTGCTTTTGTGGCTGTGGTTCTGGTAACATCAGCTCTAATGAGCAGTAACCACTTTCCTCAGTCATAGAAAAGGCTTTCGTGCCCAGGATTTTCATGAGCTGCCTGCGCTCTTCTGTTCTCCCTGTCGGTGTTAAGAGTCCTATGACCAGCTGAGCATAAAATATGCAGTTATGTATCCTGGCTTGACTAGTACCACTCTGAGTGGCTTACAACTGATCAGTACCCTGACATCCTCTCTGGTCGTTCTGTTTTCTTCCTATACTATTTGCTTAAGTTCTTGATCTCCCAGAAGCAAACCAGGAAGCCTTTGGCACAGGAGACAAGAAGTCCCCTGACTGAATTCCTGTTACTGTCCTGAATCTTCCTTCCTTTAATAGAGATAGGGTCCTTTCCTTGATGGAATCAGCGTGACCTTGTTAGTTCCTTTGACACTGGGCTGCCTGTGAAAGCCTCCCTTAGCAAAACCAGTGATATTCCTCGCTCCCTGCTCAAGTATTCAGTGGATTTTTTCTACAATGGGTTGTCATATCTGCTCCTCCAACTCTCACAGTTGGAAGGAGTTTATAAACATACATACTGTGCCACATTTAACATCGCAGTCGCCATTGGAAGCTCCCTGCCAGGACTGAGATTTGGTTTGTATCTGTGGAACAGATTTTCTAGCATGCCTGTTTCATCCTCTGCCATTATGGGGGTCAGGAGTACTCAAGCCCCTATGAATCCTTTACCAGCGTGTAATGATACCCTCCTTTTATTGTTTTCCTGCCATCAGTAGGGAGGCAAAGGTAACAAACCTAATAACAAGGACAGAACCATAACCATGCAGCATTCTTAACAGAACACATCTGCCTATAGGCAGAAAACTGGCTGTAATCCTAGATTTTGGTGGCATAACTTCCTGACTCCAGCAGCCAACCGGCTCAAAGTCATTATGTAAAGGCCAGGTCCTTGTTTCTTGGCTTTAATGGCATGGATGATTCAGACACGAATTTAGCACCTCAGAGAGAACCGGCTTGACCCAAGAAAGCTTCTGCATCATCTGCACAGAGGGCACTTATGGCCTTATTTATGCCAGAAACTAGAGTGGTAGTACCTGTATTGCTCTGGTAGGGCTGTCATAACAAAATACCACAGACTAGGTGGCTTACACAACAGAAGTTTATTGTCTCACAATTCTGGAGGCTAAAAGTCCAAGGCAAAGGTGTTGGCAGGACTGGTTTCTTCTGAGGCTTCTCTCCTTGGCTTGTAGATGGCCATCCCTGTGTCTTCACATCGTCTTCTTCTGTATCTGTGTCCAAATTTTCCTCTTCTTATAAGGAATGCCAGTCAGATTGGATTAGGACCCACTCTAATGACCTCATTTTAATTTAATTATCTCTGTAGAGACCCTATCTCCAAATCCAGTCACATTCTGACTAGGAGGATGAGGATGTCAACATATGAATTGTAGAGGGATGTAATCCAGTTCATAATAATAGCGCTTCTGAAATATTTTGTTAACCCAGATCTGTTATGTTCCCTGAGCAACTCCTTGCCTGACCATTATAAGGAAGTGTGAATGTCTGTTCTTATTCTCGATAAGACTGCCTGTAGCTGTCATTGTGTGTACGTTTGAAGCTCTGATTTTAACCTATTGTCTACGTCAGTGTCATATGCACGTGAAAGGATGTTTGATTTTCACTTCTCCAGAACAGCGTACATTACTCTAAGTTGACTAAGTTGCCTATCAACTAATTCAAGTGAAAACCTGTTGTGTGCATGTCTGCCCTGTATGTGGCTGTGACCTCCCAGACAGGTATCCAGCAATGTCAACTAACAGGAACCCCCACAGCAGTTCTCATTTGGAGTCTACTCTTTTTTTTTTTTTTTAAGATTTTATTTATTTATTTGTGAGAGAGAGGAAGAGAGAATGAGCCAGGGGAGAGGCAGAGGGAGAGGGAGAAGCAGACTCCCCGCTGAGCAGGGAGCCTGACACGGGGCTGGATCCCAGGACCCTGGGATCATGACCTGAGCTTTACCCACTGAGCCACCCAGGCACCCCTGGGAGTCTACTCTTAAGACCTCAGGTGATCTTATCTATATTAAAAGTTTTCTTTTAGAATGAGCATTTATTGCTTGTGTAATAATACAAGTCATCCATTGTCATTCTAATATCTGGACAAAAGTTATTTATATGAGAATATCCATAGAGATTTAAGAAGGCCAAGCAAGGAAAACAGTTTCACCATGTACCAAGGAAGACCTTAGTACTTGAAGCAGCTTGCGAGGGGTACTGTTCTTTGTCAGGTTGCTCTTCAGAACGGGAAATAATACGTGTGGCTGGCCTGATCCTCACCTGTGGGAGAAGGTAACCAGTATCTCCTAATGGAGTGAACATGCAGAAGTAAACAGTAAGCAACTTTTGTCTGAAAAGTCTTGACTAAGTGATCAAACTTGATGCATACAATGTATCAAAAGAGCTTTGCCCTTCCACTTCACTTTTTCACACTGTTCCTTCTGCACCTTCTTAGTGCTCTTTACTTGGTGAGGAAAGACAAGGCACAGATGGTTTCTGTATTCTTTCCATTCCCTTCCCACCCCCAACTTAAGAGGCTCCTAGCCATGACCTGTATCAGCAGGACTGAGCTCTGTCTGGCTTTTTTTCTTTAAAGTAATAACTGTGCTGGGTTATAAATCAGGGTCTTCTCTTTAACAAGGTTTTTTAACTATAGAAGAAAGTTATCAACTACTCTCGTGTTCCTTGTCCTCTCCCAACTTCCTTCTAAATATGGAAAGTGGCCTGGGACAGGTCCTTCCCTTGGATCACGACTCACAATCTGTTCAGTGATGTCCAGCCTTGTTTAGGTATAGATATAATCTAATTTTCTTATCTAAGCGAGCCCTAGGGATGCCTGGGTGGCTCAGTTGGTTAAGAGTCTGACTTGATTTTGGTTCAGGTCATAATCTCATGGTTGTGAGATCGACCCCCACTGCGGGCTCTGAGCTCAGTGGGGAGTCCGCTTCTCTCCCTCTCCTTCTGCCTCTCCCCCCCCTCCCCCACCCCCCCGCCGTTTGTATGCTCTCTCTCTCTCTGAAATAAATTAATAAATCTTAAAAAATTATAAAAAATTATTAAAAAAGTAAATCTTTAAACAAGCCCTAAATTCTGATTACAGTATAATAATTTTGTTTTCATATACAGTTTCAAGAAACTTAAT